GAGATGTACCAATGCTTACACATGTATACATAACTGGATACCAATTATGATTGATTGATCACATGTGGTTCCCCTTAAACTATCATAATCACAAACATTAACATGCAAATAAGCAAAATTTTCAAATTGCAAACACTGCATGACATAAGAGGCGGGGCCAAAACGTTTTTTTTTAATGAGCCTATGCTGATACAACTGAATACCACTTATCATTGACCTCCCATTAGTGGTTACCTTTATAAGCTCACCAAACAATCGTTATTGCCTGACTATAAAACTAAAGCTGGATAGCTTCAGTTAGTATGTAGTAATTATGTACAATTGGAGTTTTTAGTTGCATTTAGATGGGACATGTTGTCAGAACTGCTTTAAAAACCTTAATGACAAAATGTTTATTTCACTATAACATATAAATGCGCGATATAGTTGATATGAAATAATGCTTTAGATCATAGAAAGTTCAGAATTTGAGAATGACTTCGATAGAAACTGTACTTTTAACTGATATTGAAATTGAATACAACTCGCTGAAAAATAATCATTACTTAACTCTAATTGTTTGTCATTTTGGTGTAATTTGTTCACTTTTATTTGATTGATTTGCATGTCTTACCGACAAAGTTTCAGATAAATAATGTTATGCAATTAAATAAAGCAGCGATTCACTTGATCTTAATAGTAGAATGAGTTTGTAAACCAATAGGATTAATGATTCCCAAACTTCTTTATAGTTGATACTGTAGTTCAAAACTATTCTAGTGTTTAATCTTTTATGGTGTTTTTGTTTTGATGCGTTGTTTCTTTGTTTCATTGTTGCTTTTCGTTTTTTGTTATTTTTTTGTTTCTTTCTTATTAGTATTTATAAAAGATAAGGACATGACATACCGTTATTCGAAATATTCAGTTTGAAAAAAAATGCAATATCTTTCTTTCCCGGCTAGTTGACTGACCGTAATTAATCACCCACTTATAAAAATGGAAAAAATTTCACAAAATGTTTTATTCTATGCCATCCTTTAAACCAATGATTTAAAAAATTGAAAAAAAAGAAAATCTAGAAACTAAAATGGTCATCATAGTACTCCATTGTACCAATATCACTCTACTCAGTCTCCGTAATTATTGTAGCATGATTGTTTGGCGTGTATAGAACAAACATATAAGTGACGTCATAACGTGTACCGAAAAGTTATCAAAATAACTGGCGCCAAACTTAAAAGTGTTTATGTTAGGTAGCAATGAACAGTTAGGAAAAATTATTGAAAATTACCCTGATGAATTTTATCTTCTCCTTTTTCTAGCTTTCTTGCAAATCAAGCTTACTGTTTGTGTCATATATGTGCATATGTAAAATATATTTTATATCTAGTAGTTAAAATAGTAAAATATAATTTCTTTTTGATGTATCCATGGCAACAATCTGCATTTGTTTGTTAAAAATATTGCAAAAGGGTAGGTGGGGGAATGGGTGGAAGTTGTTACATATTTCTAAAAAATTTACCCAGAAGTAGAATATATTTCTTGAAGTGGTACCTTTTCTGAAACTGTTTACATAGTTTGCAATAGTAAAATTATTAGAGCGGCAAAGTTAAGGAGGGAATAAAATAGCAAAAAAACCTAAAAAAAATAATAAAAAAGACAATGACATATAAGTTGTTTTCTTGTGAAGATCAACAACTTAAATTAACATTGACAAAAACTATGAGTACATTATACTTATAACTCTACTAACTAAACTTTCCATATAAGGAGATTTATGTTATGTTCACACATAAAAGGGAAATATTTAGCAATTGTCACTTTGGTCATAGATGGAGATCAGATCAAAAGTACGAAGCACTTACGACAATGATTCAGGATCATGTGAAAGGGAAATATAAATAATTATCTGATGTGGGTGTAAAGTAAAGTTAGTTTCGTGTGTTAAAAAGAAATAATATCTTCCTGCTTTGGTTTATATAAAACGACATAAACTTTACAAATACAAAGTGAAGACTTACTTTACATACGAAAGTAGATGACATCTCAACAAACCTGACCTTAACTTTGAATTTATTTTTGTTCTAGCCCATTTCCACAGTAGGAGATTCCGATATATGTAAATGTAGCTTTTCATTATTGCGTCGTCGTCGTCCGTCGTCATTTAACTTTTAAAAAAATCTTCTGCTCTTGAACTACTGGGCCAAATTTAACCAAACTTGGCCACAATCATCATTAGGGCATCTTATTCGTCGACCAATACTGCCAACCAATATGGCTGACATGGCTAAAAAGAACATATGGATAAAATGCAGTTTTTGGCTTCTATCTATGAAACTGAAGCATTTATAGCAATGTTTATCAGGTTAAGATTTAACACTGAAATGTTCATACGAATTAGACAACCTGTTGTTGGGTTACTGCCCTTGTATAGGTAATTTTAAGGAAATTTTGCAGTTTTTTGTTATTATCTTGACAATTATTATAGATATAAATAAACTGTGATCATCAATGATATGTAAAAATCTTCGTTCTTCTCTGAAACTACTGAGACAACTTTGACTAAACTTGTCCACAATAATCATTAGTGTAGCTAGTTAAAAGAAAATGTGCCCCAAAACCCTGCATTCTAACCAACATGGCCGACATGGCAAAACATTGATCATAGGGGTAAAATGAAGATTTTTGGCTTTTATCTCTGCAACTAAAGCATTTAGAGTAATTCTGATGTGGAATAAGTCAACATAAGTAGTAAGAAATGCTCAACAGACATAATACTTATTCATGTCACATAATTTGCCTTTTTCTTCGTTCTAGTTTTTGGTTACTGTTACACAACTGTCCCAGGTTAGAGGAAGGGTTCAGATCCTGCTAACATGTTCAACCCCGCCTCATTCTTTATGTATGTGCATGACCTAAATTATTAGCCTGTAATTCAGTGGTTGTCATTTAATTTGTTGCTGTGTTACATATTTGTTTTTCGTTCATTATTTTGTACCTAAATTATGTCGTTAGTTTTCTTGTTTCAATAGATTTACATTTGTAATTTCGGGGCCTTTAAAAGCTGACTATTCGTGTCATTTGGTCTATTATTGAGAGTTGTCTCATTAGCAATCATATCCCATCTTCTGTTTATATGTAAGTTGAACGTTGTTTGTATTTCTATGTTTGGATTTCAAGGTCAATTGGGTGTTGGTGGCTTTCGTGGTCTTTGATACCTCTCAGTATAATTTAGGTGTATCTTGTGTATCTGTTTATGTATTATTAGCTCTACAATTTACTATTTTCTTAATATATGCCGACCTTATGAAAATATCTTCTTTTTTGCTTATTAAATAAAGGCAAAATGATGACGCTGTTCGAAAGTCATCAGTCGATTGAGAGAAAACAAATCCAGGTAAACTGAGGTAAACACATCAACTATAAGAGGAAAACAACGAAACAACAGAAACACTGAAGTGCAACAAAAACCAAAACGACAATGCAACACACACAGAAACGAACTATAACATAACAACTGCCATTTTTCTGACTTGGTACAGAAAATAAAAAAATGGTGGGTTAAACCTGATTTTGCGGCTAGCCAAACCTCCCGCTTTTATGGCATTGCTAAATATAACACTAAAATGATAACATTACTCGACGGGACTACAGTACAAAAAAATGCAAGAACATAACGGAAAGAGAAATACACAAATAAACATTACAATAGGACATTTCGACATGCTAAATTTTATCAAATGTACCAGTCCTACAGTCTAATACACCATACGCGCGCTTCGTCTAAATAAGACCCACCAGCGACGCCCAGATCAAAACATTATAATTTGTTCTTCAATCTCAACTGAAATCAGAAACTTAAGTTATTAATTCTGTTTGATCCTTAAATGATATACTAGTCTACAACATAAAGTTTACATAATTGACGTTTTCTAAGAATGTCTTTATTTATATATGATCATTAATTTTCGGTGTTTAAATTAATGTAGAGGGTAAATATACACTTGATGACACTTTAAAATTTCTAAACTTTTCCTTATGAATTAAAAACAATATAATACAAATGTTTTTCTCCATAACTCACATTGAAACACAGTGTTTTGTGTTCCTTACTTTGTCTGTTCGCCTTTTTCCGGTCATGATGTTGTCGTTTTTTTTTTTACTTCTACTTTAAATTTCTTATGTTGTATTTTATAATCTTGGATTTGTTTTTAGCTGTGAGACACAGTTTTTCCTAATTAAGATATTTTACTTCAAAATGTAATTAATATAGATGTCAATGTAGATAATATCTTATTGTGTAAATCCTTGACTCATGTCAATTATCTGTAAAGGGACAAAGATAGGTAAAATATTTCAATGTCAACATTTTATGACATCACAGAAACACCACAATTGACCTTTTGTCACTAAGTATCCAGTTTTAAATCAATATTATAAGTTTCAAAATTCTTTTCAACAGTTATACTACATAACTGACTGCCAACTGACCTTTAATCGCCTACAATGCAGACATGACAAAACATTTTCTATGCATTTTGATACTTTAAACAACTGTCGTGTGTGCATCCTTTTAATTTCACATTGACTTTATATACTAATACTTAAAACAAGAATTGTTTAATTTTTTGTTTTGTTTGGTAATAGTGATACTTTTTGCAACGGTTTTTGTGTCATTTCTTGGAAATAGATATATTAAATGAGCATCAGTGGTCAATTAGATTTTCGATTGTTGTGTTAATTGCATTATGGATGACTCTTACATGTCTATCTACTTAACGGAAAACGTGTAAATTGTTGGAATTTGGAACCATTCTTTTTATTATTTTCTAAAAATAAATATTCAAGACACATTTTCCCTCCATTGTACCCCAACTTTCATTCTATTTCCGTTTATTTTCAAACTATTGTTTAACCTTTGACTTATACTTAGAACAAGATGTGGAAATGACAATATTATCCAATGAAAAATAATAATACGTGTCATTAATTATAAAATACAGACATAAATGATGTGTAGGTTGTATAGTAATATTTATATAGAATAGCCAACGATTGCAGATAAAAACAGGAACACAAATTTTCACGTTAACCGTAACAGACCAACTACGATGACAGGTATAATATAAACTGAAGTTGTTAATTCTGTATGATCCTTAAATGATATACTAGTACAAAACATAAGGTTTACATAATTGACGTTTACTAATAATGTTTTAATTTTTTTAAATATATATAATCATTAATTGTCTGTATTCAAATTAATGTAGAAAGTAAATATACACTTGATGACACTTTTAAATTCGAAAATTTTCATTATGAATTTAAAACAAAATAAAATCGGTCTAAAATTTATATATATACATTTCTTTTTACTGTTTAATGGAAAAACGGTATGTTTTAAGAACTCCTTTATCAGATATAATAACTGCATTTCTAACGTATGTTCATCCTTTACCACGCATATACACTTTTTACGCTTATCCCCTCACACCGCGTATACGTCTTTTACGCTTATCCCCGTCCTCCGCAAATACGCTTTCCTACGCTTTTCATGTATTTTGTCTTGAAAACGTCAATGTAAAAATTTCACGTATAAATAAATGTGGTGACATTTAAAAATAAATAAACGAGACAAGTGCCAGTGCTTATCGTAGGAAATGGGCGGTAATTATACACTTACGCAATGAATATTCATGAGATTCTCACATGTAATAACAGACGACAATAACAAATATGGCGGCCTCCAGCAGGCCGAGTGTATGGGATGTTTGTGTCTGAACCAGCACTTCAAAATACATCAGTTGACGAAAGCATTGAAGGTGAGGATAACGGAAATGTGTCCGATATAGTTGTTACGTTTGTAAGCAAGGAGGAAGAGGACATTGATGATGAATTCTTGCAGGATCAAGAGGATGTAAATGATGATACTGACACGAATAAAATTATATGGAGCGAGGTCAATCAAGATGTTAATGTTCGACAGTTTACCGTAAGTACCGGATCTCAAGTCTTATTGAATGCTGATGTTAGTGTTTTAATACCTTCTTCACAACAGATATGATCAGTATAGTTGTCCAAGAGACCAACCTAAATGCAATACACAAATAGCAACAAGCAGGACGAAATGACACAAACTGGACGGAGACAGATTTTGCTGAAATGTCTGCATATTTAGGTAAGTGAAAAAAAAATATCCGTTCAAACTAACAATGGTTTATATATGTGTACGATTGTAAGGTTGGTTAATTAATCAAGTTAAAATCGAAATGCATAGTAAACTCCCTGGAAACTGGTATATATATATACATATGTAGGCATTTATATGCACTGTTCTAAGTCACAAGCCTGTTGTTCAGTGGTTGAAGTTGGTTGTCGTTTGTTGATGTGGTTTATATGTGTTTCTCTTTTCTCGTGTTGTATATAGATTAGACCATTATTTTTCCTGTTAGATCAGTTTTACAATAGTCATTTTGTGGTCCTTTATAGCTTGCTGTTTGATGTCTGTGTTGTAGGCCGTACGTTGACCCAAAATTATTAACTATTTTTATACATTGTGACTTGGATTGAGAGTTGTCTCATTAGCACTCATACCACATGTTCTAATTTACAATATTTATTTGTTTGTACATGCCTTTATACATGTCTGTCATTTTAAAATTGTGTTTGTTCGTTACATGTATTTTATGATTCTCAAAAGTAGAAGTAGGTTTAGTACTCTATGCATGCAGAGTACATAATAAAACTTGACAGGGAACTTTTACATCTCAAGATATGTATGCACAGCCTATATACTCATGTACATGATGTATATTTAAGAGTGATATTAAAAGTAATATTTTTATTACAAAAAGTTAAAAGTGTAAATTTTATCTTTACTAGGAATCCTAATTCTAATATGGATTATACAAGTTCCTGACTACAAGTATTTATGGTCGACAAATGAATTCCTTAATAAAGAAGGTGTAAAAGATGTCATGTCTGTAAAAAGAAAAGCTGACTTGATATTTACATCTGAATGAGCCATTAGCAGATTCACCAGACAAACTTGCCAGAATTCGGCCAATATTAGATTCTGTTTTAGAAAGATGTCGTGTAGCTAATAAACCTCGGAAGAACCAAAGTATTGACGAAGCAATCGCACCATCGCACTTCGGTGTAGCTATCAACAAGCTAGCGTCACAATGCCCCCATCGCATTTCAGCGTGATGAAAAACGCACTTCAGCGTCAAACCATCTAACCTCAGCTTTCCCAGCGCGGTTCGGAGTACCATCGCGGTTCAGACTCTTACATATATATATATATATATTTTCAATTTAGACTTGTTTTTTCACTTTTTGGTCTTTTGAAAAATGTTGGTGGTGCTGTATTTAGACCCCTCTTACAAGAAATTTGTTTTGCATGCACACGTATAAAAATTGCGGTTTTTATCCAACGCAATCATAGGTTTGAACGTTGTTTTCAATTTAGACTTGTTTATATTTTTTCGTTTGGGCTTGTATTATATTTGCCTTCGGGTTTTATATGATCCGTTCATCCTATTTTGACTCCTCAAAATTCAAGAGTATATCATAAATTGAGGTAAATTGTATGGCTTTCCAAATACCGTTTCGATTCCTAACACCACTGAAGAGACATTAATTGTCGAAATCCGGATATGGTGTACAAAAACCTTTGCACCTTTTGTTTGCGGTATACCATCTTTTCCGCAAGTTTATTGTTTTTGTTTAGTATTAAATTTATAATTAAGATCCATTTATTACATCGGTGATCCGTTTATTTGGCAATCGCCAATGGCAGTCAGCAGGGTTTAAGAACATTTGTTGTTCGACCTGTTAGTCAAATGCGTTTTGTTAAATAAACTTTTTCACTTTTTTGGTCTTTTGGAAAATGTTGTTTGTGCTGTATTTAGACCCCTCTTACAAGAAATTTGTTTTGCATGCACACGTATAAAAATTGCGGTTTTTATCCAACGCAATCATAGGTTTGAACGTTGTTTTCAATTTAGACTTGTTTATATTTTTTCGTTTGGGCTTGTATTATATTTGCCTTCGGGTTTTATAGGATCCGTTCATCCTATTTTGACTCCTCAAAATTCAAGAGTCTATCCTAAATTGAGGTAAATTGTATGGCTTTCCAAATACCGTTTCGATTCCTAACATCACTGAAGAGACATTAATTGTCGAAATCCGGATATGGTGTACAAAAACCTTTGCACCTTTTGTTTGCGGTATACCATCTTTTCCGCAAGTTTATTGTTTTTGTTTAGTATTAAATTTATAATTAAGATCCATTTATTACATCGGTGATCCGTTTATTTGGCAATCGCCAATGGCAGTCAGCAGGGTTTAAGAACATTTGTTGTTCGACCTGTTAGTCAAATGCGTTTTGTTAAAATATACTTTTTCACTTTTTTGGTCTTACGGAAAATGTTGTTTGTGCTGTATTTAGACCCCTATACCAAGAAATTACTTTTGCATGACAAGTATAAAAATTGCGGTTTTTATCCAACGCAATCATAGGTTTGAACATTGTTTTCAATTTAGACTTGTTTATGTTTTTTCGTTTGGGCTTGTATTATATTTGCCTTCGGGTTTTATAGGATCCGTTCATCCTATTTTGACTCCTCAAAATTCAAGAGTCAATCCTAAATTGAGGTAAATTGTATGGCTTTCCAAATACCGTTTCGATTCCTAACATCACTGAAGAGACACTAATTGTCGAAATCCGGATATGGTGTACAAAAATCTTTGCACCTTTTGTTTGCGGTATACCATCTTTTCCGCAAGTTTATTGTTTTTGTTTAGTATTAAATTAATAATTAAGATCCATGTATTACATCGGTGACCCGTTTGTTTGGCAATCGCCAATGGCCGTCAGCAGGGTTTAAGAACATTTGTTGTTCGACCTGTTAGTCAAATGCGTTTTGTTATAATACTAGTATACTTTTTCACTTTTTGGTCTTTTGGAAAATGTTGTTTGTGCTGTATTTAGACCCCTCTTACAAATAATTTTTTTGCATGCACACGTATAAAAATTGCGGTTTTTATCCAACGCAATCATAGGTTTGAACGTTGTTTTCATTTTAGACTTGTTTATATTTTTTCGTTTGGGCTTGTATTATATTTGCCTTCGGGTTTTATATGATCCGTTCATCCTATTTTGACTCCTCAAAATTCAAGAGTCTATCCTAAATTGAGGTAAATTGTATGGCTTTCCAAATACCGTTTCGAATTCTAACACCACTGAAGAGACATTAATTGTCGAAATCCGGATATGGTGTACAAAAACCTTTGCACCTTTTGTTTGCGGTATACCATCTTTACCGCAAGTTTATTGTTTTCGTTTAGTATTAAATTTATTATTAAGATCCATTTATTACATCGGTGATCCGTTTATTTGGCAATCGTCAATGGCAGTCAGCAGGGTTTAAGAACATTTTGCTAAAATATACTTTTTCACTTTTTTGGTCTTTTGGAAAATGTTGTTTGTGCTGTATTTAGACCCCTATACCAAGAAATTGCTTTTGCATGCACAAGTATAAAAATTGCGGTTTTTATCCAACGCAATCATAGGTTTGAACGTTCTTTACAATTACATATATATATATGTATATTTTTAGAATTTTTCAAAAAATTATTTGTTCATATTACCCTAGGCTAATACTACATTATAGGATAGAATAGATTTTGAGAAATTAATAAAGTCAACTTTTAAATGGTTAGGCGGGTGCCAGCAAGATCTATCTACCCTACCGGAGCAATTGATATCCCCAAGAATTATGTTTTTGGTGCATGGTTCGTGTTGCTTAGAATTTAGTGTCTTTGTCGTATTTGTATACAGTTACTGTTGTTTGTCTTTTGATTATTTTTCAAGGTGTTTTTTTTTTTTTTTACCTTGGCGTTGTCATTTTATCATTGACTTGTGAGTTTGACTATCCCTTTGGTAGTTTCGTTCTCTCTTGTCAAATAGTTAAAAGGAATTGTTACAATAATTAACAGAGTGATAGCAAAAGCTAGTCCATTTTTAAGAGAAGTTGACATCGCAACAACTCATTGAAGCTAAATTCTAATAGTAGTTCTATGTTAACATCATTATGGCGAACATTGTTTTTCATTCCTTATGACTAATTATTTTATCAATTTCGTGTTTATTTCAGACTCAGACACAAAAACCTTATCATTAGCACTGTATCTTTACATGTGTCAGAACATAGTTGGAACAGAGAATCATGTAAAAACAATGAGACTGATCAATACTGTCAGGGATAATTTTACAAGCGGCAAAGAGTTTATTATTATCACAAGTGGAAGTTTTGGAGAAGGCCTTGAGATGAGAGGAAGTGATTTGGATATAATGTATTTAGAGAAAGTTTTGAAAGTTTATGAAAAAATTAAAACTTACAATTCAGATGATGTATATTTAACAATGGAAACCGATGATGTAAAGGTTAAAATCACTCAGTTGCAAATAGAACACATGGATCCTCTATTTCTATCTATATTATGTGAAGAACGTAATGGAAAACATTATTTCTCGAGCGCATTATTTAAACAAGAGACTTTGCGTAAAACAAGTGGTGTACTTCATGGACCATGTTTATCAAACAAAACTGGAACGTATGACCAAGCCTTATGCTTACATTGTACAACATGGATATCACAAGCATCACAGTGGATAACAAGATCAAGTAACGCATGGCCAAGTTATAACGTCAAACAAAGTATTTTAAAACACGGAGTACTTTTTGTACCAATCGGAGTTAAGGGATCACCAAAAGAGGATATAGAATGGCGAATTTCATTTTCTGTTGGAGAAAAATTTCTAATAAATACTTTTACACACACTCAATTAATATGCTATGCCCTCCTGAAAATTCTTTTGAAAGATGTATTAGAAACCTACACCGAATGTAGAGAACTACTCTGTTCATATTTCTTGAAAACAATTATTTTCTGGATATCAGAAGAATTACCCCAATCAATATGGAAGCCTAAAAATCTTATAAATTGTTTCATGCGATGTTTTAGCAGACTGATATATAATGTTGAATATTCAGTTTGTTTACATTACTTCATACAAGAAAACAACATGTTTGAAAACAAAATAGAAGGACGCGCTCGTGAAATACTGTTAGAGAAACTTTATAACCTGCATAGTTACGGATAGCGATGCATATTATTTTCGGATCAAATATCCAACTTTCATGTATCAATATATAATATTAACATAGAACCACATTTGTTGCAAAAACCACTGAATTCAAAATCATTATATATGTTAAACAGTACAATATATCGTATAGCATTGAAATGGAATGCATACAAAACAGGAATACATCAGATAGTTTCCTGTGACAAATCCTTAAACAAATATATATGCGTATACTATATGTCAATGATGTCTGCCTCATTTGTGTGGTCTATATCACTAGACAGTACAAAAAGTAATAATAAACACCAATACAAACAGTACAAATCTTGTCTCTGTACTTTGCTACAGAATGTTCATCATGACGCTGTTTCTGGTTGGCTGATGTTAGCATCGTTTTTCTATAAGTATAAACAATATAGTAATGCGTTACACATTATCGATTATTCTATATCGAAAGTTACTCCCGAAAAAATACATCGCTTCATGGATATGTCGGATATGCATGTCCAATTGTCCGATTTGCAAGTATTCCAAAGAAAAAGTATTGTACAAATGTGGAAAATATTACTTGTAGATTTTATGATATTTACAAGAAATTCTAGGCTAATACCATATGAACTACAAATGGAAGTAGAAAATGGACAATATCACATTTCCTCTATAGTTTATGCTTATTTTCTAAACTTGGTATGTCATTATCATCTCAATAATATCAGACAATGTCACGATTGCCTCCACACTTTAAAACTTATTATAGCTGAAAACTATTTTATTGAAAATAATACATGTTTTGTTTCTAGAGCCTACACTATTCTTGGTATTGCTTCACAGTTATTAGGAGACAGTGAATCTGCACGACAGGCATTTATGCAGTCACACAAAATATTCCCTAATTACAGATATAATACGTCTGTAAAGAGACTTTCGTTAATGAGCTCATTGTAATGTTAATGCATTTTAGTATCAATAGGACAAACTTATTCCAGACTGGTATTTTGTTTACGTTTTTGATAAATCCATGTAATGATATGAAATGCAATGATATCAGGGATGTCAAAGTACTAGGGTTGCAAAAAAACATTTAGGAACTTAATTGGAAATGTAATCGCTAAATAGTAATGTTGGTGGATTGCTGTAGATAGATGTAATTATTTATTCAATTATTTCATTTTTAGTTTTAAAAAACATATTTATACCTTTTGATGAAGTAGCAATTCTTATATTTATTTTTTTAACTACTGTGAAATGCAATGATAATAGACATGTTAGATAAATAACTAATGTTGACAATTAAGAGTCGAGAGTATATAAGTACTAGTATCAACATGACACACTTATTCTGGTATTTTGTTGAAGTGGGATTTGTGTTTTCTAGTATTGTTCACTTTTTTTATAAATCCGGTTAATGTTATGAAATGAAAATAGGGCTGGCAAAGTACTAGCGTTGCAGAAAAAAATTAGGAGCTTATTTTGAAATATAATCGCTAAAATTGTAACGTTTGTGGACCACTGTAGATAGATGTAATTAATTTATTTAATTATTTCAGGTTTAGTTTTATAAAAAAACAAACTTGTTAGAGCTATTATTCTATTCGTTTGAGGATTTTTATTTATACATTTCGATGAAGTAGCAATTCTTTTATTTAATTCTTTTAACTACTGAGAAATGCAATGATAATATGGCATTTTATTATTATGATAATTTTCCATCGATACATCTGCGCTCTCAAAAATTTATGCCTCTTTTTGGAGGAATCCGATAGCTCGAATAGTAAGCTGGTGCAGCGAATGACTTTTGGAAACCGTTCCGAGCTCAGTTTTGAAGTGCGTAGACCTATGTAGGAAACAAGGGCCTTTCAACCATGTGCGTGTTTAACAAGTGTTATTGAGAGAGGAATCGCACCCAAATTGTGTTCTTCATTCAGTGTATTTAAGAAAATATAATAAACTTAATATATATATTAATAAATATAAATGGACTACTGGTGATTTTTATGTGAATTTATACGATACCTGAAGTCTTGAGACTTTGCAGTGGAAATTGAAATTGTGTATGTTTGTTTTTATTGATATTTTTTTGTTTAATAAAAAATGTGTTTTATTGAATTATTTTATTACAGTTAAAAGAAATGTAATATTCATAGATATTTTGTTGTGTTTACCTGTTGGTTCCAAGATATGATCTTTATGCTTCATCTCGTAGAGACACAACTTGAAAATGTTACCTGTATAAATACACATGGATTACGGCCAAATTGAATTCTGAAGGAGACACAAAGTGAAGGGAGGAGTAGTACAAAATATTAGCATAGTTTGAACTCTTAAAATTTCGAAGCATTTAAATGTTGAAAATATGCCGCACAGCCCTATGGTTTGACCTTTGAAACATTAGAACCGTTGCACCTTAAATTGAGACGTCACTCGGGATTTTATCAGTTACCTTTTTGTTAGATAGATAGATCTCATCTATTTCACTGATTGTAATTAAAAAGAAGTAATTACCCCATATTAGGTTAGATAGTTTGGTACTTTGTTAGTCAGACTAAAGACAGAGCCAAAGATTAACCATCGGTTAAAAATAGCACTCTGTAATGTAGCTGTTTAAAATAAGTATCTATTATCAAGTATAAAGATAGATATAGGAAGATGTGGTATAAGTGCCAATGAGACAACTCTCCATCCAAGTCACAATTTATAAAAGTAAACCATTATAGGTCAAGGTACGGTCTTCAACACGGAGCCTTGGCTCACACCGAACAACAAGCTATAAAGGGCCCCAACAAAATACTAGTGTAAAACCATTCAAACGAGAAAAAACCAACGGTCTAATCTATATAAAAATACCAGAAACGAGAAACACTTATGAACCACATCAACAAACGACAACTACTTAACATTAGATTCCTGACTAAAGACAGGTGCAAACAATTGCAGCGGGTTTAAACGTTTTAATTTTACCAAACCTTCACCTTTATCTTAAACAATAGTGTAACATCACAACATAGAAAGACACACTATAGAATATCAATTGGAATGGCTTAACTCAATCAAAAAACGTAGTGACCAAATGAACATACACTGAACGAATAAATTTGATCTATGCTACAATGTAAATACAAAGTTCATAAAAATAAGTGATGAATATTTATAGTAAAAGTATTATACCGCTGTAAACTGCTAAACAATTTCAGAAGAAAACATCAGCTTTGAAAAAAATTACGCCATTTGTAATATCAAAATTAAACACAGGTAAATGAAAATAATTTTGTAGATGAGTATACTTCTTTTTCTGTCTGTATAACCTTACGTTTAGGAACACCAAGAAATGTCTTGCATAACAAATAAACTATTCAAAAACTTGGTAAATGTGGGGTGAATATCAACATTTAAACTATAAAATTGGTGCTCGATAAAACTTCGTGTTCTGCCTGTACAGGTGCCGGAAGTGTGATGTATAATACAGTTTAAAAGGAGAAAGGAAATAATTTTGATGTTCATAGTACGAAGAAGTGAAAATTTATAGTAATTCCAAACACTTATCAAAGCTGGTATATAGACCAGATATAAGTTAACAGTAAATAACAAAAAAGCATTACAAATAGTATCAACAGGTCAAATTAACAAGAAAGTACGATTTGAAAGTACTCGCAGTTACTGACAGCTAGTTAAAAGCCAAAACAATTAATAATAAAAAATCATGCATCAGAGACTAAAATCAACTAAAACACATCCCAGGGATTTAGTATCTTAACGTCACGGACAGTCAAAGAAGACATGACTAGTGCAATGCCAAAAATAAATGTATCGACAGGCAGAGGATAGTTAGGAGTTAACCTCTTTATAGATAAAAATGAACGTGTGTGTGTCTTTATACATCCCGTTTGAAAAGAATACAAATTAATAATATGGTATTTGATTCTGCCCGATATTATGCTGTGGACTGACACTGGATTAAAAAACGTATAAACAGGTACAATAAACCAGTAAATACCATACCTTAAAAATGTGTAATTGTTTAACACATAAGTATATTCTATTTCTGTCAAATGTTGCCAAATTGGTTAAAGGGTTAATCCTGCTTTCAGTTCTTCTGTCAGAAATTTAATTTTGTGTGATCTTAGATGGTTCTCCTCTGTAATTTAATTTTCTGATCATAATTTATTTTTTGTTAACCCTTAGTAGTAATCCTGCGCATGTTGGTTGGCCGTAAACGAGTTTGCCTGTTCTAATTATATGTAGGTCGTTTGAGCTTTTATAATCTTGAAAGTTTAATTATTTGGCCTTTAAAGTTTTTGGTAAACATCTTTACATGTAAGGTCAGACGTTCGTGTTCTGCGCATGTTAATTAGTTGATTTTTTCTTCTAAATTAAATTTCATTAAGTTTAACACCCACTGATCGATTATCAGTCCTGTGGTGTTCTTTTTTTTTTTGTCGTGTCGCTACTGAAATGGTTGAAACGATATGTATTGCAAAATATTTATCCAATTAATTGAATATTGCAAGTGTGCTAAAACACTTATGAACCATATCAACAAACGACAACCACTAAACAGCAGGTTTCTGACTTAGGACAGGTGCAAACAAATGCAGCGGGTTTAAACGTTTTAATAGGTACCAACCTTCACCCGTACCTGAAACAATAGTGTAACACCACAACATAGAAAGTCACACTATAAAATATCAATTGAAATGGCTTAACTCAATCAAAAGTCATATTAACACAAACAAATGAATATACACTGAACGAATAAATTAGATCTTTGACACAATGTAAATACAAAATCAATAAAATAAGGGGTGATATGTTAAACAATTTCAGAAAAACAACTATAACCTTAAACAAAATGCCGCCAAGTAGAATATTGTACACAGGTAGTTGAAATTAATTGTGTATGGTAATTGAGAACGGAAATATTTTTTACAAAATAAATAATTTTGCTGTTCACAGTACGATAACAGGAGTTGAAATTTATAGTCACACTAAACAATCATCAAAGCTGGTTAATATTAAAAATAGAGAGATGAGATATAACTTTAAATAAGTAAACATTTAATAACAAAAAAGCATTACAAATTGTATGAACAGGTCAAATGTCTGAAATTTTATGGAAAAACATATATTAAAAAAATGGTCTGCAAACTCAATATTATTCATAGCTATCGATTTTAAAAATGTTAAAAAATAAAAGTCAAACTTTCCAATATTTAAAAGAATTATATTAAACGAATGACTGATATAGAATGAGCTTAAATGTTTGTTCAGTATCTTAGTTTGCTTTAACAATCCAGCAATAAACAAGAAAAATAAACAACTTTATTTTGAGGTTGATGTTTCCATCCAAACTTTAAAAACTACAAATATACGTGTACAAAAAATATCAAGATTCTCTTAATTTATTACAAAAGGAATCGGGAAGTTGAAAATCATTTCCCGAAGGAAAATTTTCTATTAAAGCGAATCCTATTTATAGTGTCCTCTCTTACCAATAAAAACAGGTGAACAGTAATAACAGGACAAATTCGATTAAAATCTAAAAAAATACAGTGCTTTGAACATGCACTTTAAGCAACTAGTTTGGAAAGAATTAACAATACCACTGCTTTTTAATTTCTTAAATATTGTAGAAGAACAGACAAATAAAATAGAAGCCATGAACATTTTTCCCCCTGTCATAGTTCCCATCTCATAAGTATGATTTCCTATAGATTGTTCATGTAAAGCTGTATC